TGGCTGCAGGATTAGAACGCGTAGCAGGACAAAATTCGGGCGACTGAGCAAGCGCTGCAAAAAACCTTTTCAACGACTGTACCCTTACAATGTCCCATCAACCGGCAATATGCCAACTCGGACGCCCACCGCACCCGCTTTCTCGCAATTGTCCGCACCGTCCCACGACGCTAGTGCTCCTATCGCTTCATTTATGAAATACAGTTGATATGCATGTTATGCTACATGGATATCCTACTACATATAATCCGCTATGTCCGTGCGTGTGTGTGTGTGTGCGTCTGTCTGTTTGTCACGAAATTCATAGCGCCGGTCCCAGTAGCAGTGAGACATTGGTTCCAAGAAGTGATGTAGGGGTGTGACGGGAACACTATTGGTGGTGACAGGAAGTGATATCAGTTGATAAGATCCGATAAGAGGCGTTAGAAGGCGGAGGTCACCATATTCATAACGCGGGTGACAGCATCAGCTAGCTCTTGATTCCAAGATATGATATAGGGTATGGGCCAAGAACGTTATTGGTGGGTGACAGGAAATGATACTCAGCTGATAAGATCTGATAAGAGGCGTCAGAAGGGGAGGGGTACCGAGTCCATAGCGCGGTCACAGCAACACTGGGACGTTTGTTCCAAGGTATGATATAGGCTATGGCACAGGAATATCATTGGTGGGTGACAAGAACTGCTAGCAGCTGATAAGATTTGATAAGGGGAGTTAGAATGGGAAGGTCACCATATCCATAACGCGGGACACAGCATCAGCTAGGCGTTGATTTCAGCAAATGATATAAAGAGGGAGGTGGGGACGGCGACGGCGGGTGACGGGAAGTGATAACAGCTGATAGGGGCTGATAAGGAACGTTGCCGTTGTTGTTCAGTCAAAGCTGGAGCCTTTACACTACCAAATTATAGAGTTTTAGTGATAGCGACATTGTTGACGGGTGACAGGCAATCTTATCAATTGATAAGAAAGGATAAGGGGAACTTCTCACGATCTATAATCATCGGAACCGTTGCACTGTATACAGGGGGGGGGCAAAAAAAAAGACATTTCGACCGAGTCACATATCAGCAAAGTTTTCGCTGCCCAGAGAGAAGACGTGGATACGAGTACCAGGGCGGAAGATACCCAAGATGTTCCTCTATAAGCAGGAGCTGGCTCTCGCCCATCACCTTCATGTACACCAAAATATGAAGTCATCTCCAGCCGCAACCTGACTGGAGAAGACCTTCGGAATTCATGTCACCTCCGAACAGCTGCGAAACTTCTAGTATGGAGTCACCCATAAATAGCTACCTGGAGAGCAGTACTCTCGATCTGGAAGACCTCCATCATCGAGCAGCTCCGTCAACGTCGCTACGGTCTAGGACATCATCTTCACCTCAGTCG